ATGCATCCCCGCCTCCCCGCCTCCCCGCCTCCCCGCTCGCAGGACTACCCAGCCTGCCGCACCTCCCTGGGGCTGCTGGTGTCCAACGAGACGTTCTACCCGGCGGCGATCCGCGCGGCAGAGCAGCTGGTGCGGGACAGGGGCATGGCGCGCCTGGTGGTCATTAACCGGGCCATGGACGCGGGCATCGACCCGAAGAAGCGGCACTTTGGTGAGCAAGCGGAGCCTGTGCGTATCATCACATGCAAGCTGCGTGCCGGGATTCGTGCAAGGGAAGGCTCGCGTGCCTGACAGCACGTCCGCACCGCCGAGTCTTGCTCCTGTCGAGTTGGAGCTGCAGCAGATGATGGGTGCACAGCAAGGGCTGCAGGAGGGATGCTGATCAGCTCTGTCCTCCAGATGTTGCTGGGAGGTTGAAGCCCATCCAAATGGGAAAGCAGCAACACGAGCGCACACAGAGTGACGTCCGCCTTCCTCACGCGAGGGTGCACCCACCTGCCCGCCCCGGCCCGCCCCCAGCCTCCGAGCAGCGACGCAGGCGGGCTGTGCTTGCGCGGCTGCGTAACCTGGCGGTGTCTGTCGCCCTGGAATTGGAAGAGGCGGTCCTGTGGGTCGATGCTGACATCACCTTCATGCCGAACCACACGCTCTCTACACTGGTGGCCAGCGGCAAGGACATCGTGACCACCATCACCAAGGGGTGCGCCGGGGGGGGGCCGCGGCCGCGCCCCTGCAAGAGCCCGCTGTCCCGTGAAGAGTCTTGCGCCAGCTCGTCCGTTCTCGTGCCCGCCGGCCCCTGCGCCCGCTCGCCTGTGGTCACCTGGGGGGCAGTGCGTCCAGACATCTGGCCTGCTGTGTGGCTGCTGTCATTCTCGCCGCGGCGGCACAGCTGGGAATGCTGGATGCGCCTGTGCAGCTCGCCGTACAGCAGTCCCTCAGGCAAGGGGCCCTTGCCTGAGGGCAGCGGTCGGCCCCCACGCCATGCGAAACTTGCTGCACACGCAGCCGCGATTGCAAAGAGCAGCAGCCTACGTGCGCCTCCACCCTCTGCCAATCCCACCCTTCTGGGAATGCGTGCCACCTCGCCCCTGCAAGGTGGGACGAAAACATCTACGACCGGAACGCATGGCAGCTGCCCCGCAAGCCCTACGACCCCGCACAGGGCCAAAACTTCGTCCCAGGCACGTGCGCGCACCGCGCACCGCGCACCGCCCACCGCGCACCGCGCACCGCGCACCGCGCACCTCGCACCGCGCACCGCGCACCACGCACCGCGCACCGCACACCGCGCGCTTTGCCCGCGCCGAGGGATGGTCCGACAAGCGCTACCCCGATCTGCTGCGTGCTCCGCGACAACCGCCTCGCGCTGCCCCGCATAAGCCCCGCCGACGGGCCCGCCTCGCGCCGATACATGCCGCCGCGCAGGGCCCGTGGCGGGCGTGTCAAAGTTCCCAGACGACCTGGAGGGGAGCCCCGAGCCGTTTGTCCCGCTGGACTCTGTCGGCGGCTGCACCACCCTCGTGCGCGCCGACGTGCACCGAGAGGGCGCCCTGTTCGCGCCCTACTACCTGATAGGGGCGTCCTGGAAGGGCGACGGCTACGACGGGGTTGAGTCCGAGGGTGCGCGCGCGTTCGCGCGCGTACGTGCCTTCTTGCTATGCGCCGCGATGCAACAGACAGATCACGCAAACCCCCACTCTCATCAGCCTCGGCCCGCCGTGCGTCCTGCTTCCCTTTGTCGGTCGCTACTCGGCGTAAACTGACCGAGCAACGGAGGAAGACAGCTCCACTTGGCACCAAGGCGGGCGCCTTCCGCAGCGAGTCGTTGATGCAGTCGCCATCAGCTTGTCCAGACCACGGACCTGCATACCCCCTTGCGCCCCGCCCGCACGCAGGCCTGTGCTATGCGGCGCGCTACCTCGGTCGCACGTGCTGGTTGGCCACGAAGCTGGTCACCTATCACCAGTCATACTGGGTGGCACCCACCTCCTGGTACCAGGATCGACGTAATGCAAAATGATTTGGTTGCCTGAGCTGGGACGGCGCCGCTGCGGCCGCGAGGGCGAACTGAGTGGATTGTTTCAAGGGTGTGGGGTGGTTCAGAGAGGCACGCCTGGGTTGAATGCGGGGTTGCATCGCGCCCTGCGGCGCGCGCCATGTATCATCCGCCAGAGGAAGTATTTATTGTCACGAGCGGGTGGCCGGCTCGCAATTCAGTTGGCCGCCGCCCGCTTTGGGTGGGAAGGTGCTGACCAGGGTTCAGTCAAAGCATTGACATCACGCCCCCCAAGCCTCGACTGCATATGGGTTCTCACAACCCATCATGCACGGGGTCCACAATCCGATTGACGACTTGCTGCTGACGCGGCTGGGTGCATGCGATGCAGCGGCCGTCCCGGCCGCGGTCTTCGCACATTGCTTGGTCTTGCAGGGCACTTGTCACTTCAGGCGCCTCGAAGCAGCGACGGCAGAGCACTGTTGACTCGGGACAGCTCAATTGCGATTTTCACTTGATAGATTTTTCGTACATTCTGTGATTAAGTCAGCTCCACGCCGCGCGAGATCGCAATTTGACAAAGTACAGTCTAACTATGCAGGGGACGCGCAAGCTGTGTGCAGAGCTGTATGGAGGCAGCTCAGGAGCCTTGAAATTGTGCAGGCATGCAATGCGATCGAGCGCAGCGACCCATTGGCCGCCGCCGCCGCAACCACGCGCACAGCACAGCCAGCGCCTGCGCCAACAGGCTGCCCCGTTCTCCACAGACGCTGCGACAAACGACGCGCAGGTCAGCGCAGCAAGCATGCTTCAGGGGTTCTTGCAATTCACAGCATGGCCCTGATGCAGACATGTGACGTCGTTCAGCCACGCAACCACATGGACAACGGCTGGTCAGCTCCGGGCACGAGTGTCACATTCGTTGCCGCCCCGCACCCCCTCAAACGCACCGCAGCAGGGGCAACCCCAGACGCAGCGCGAACAACCCAGCGCCCCGCAACGCTCCCCACTGATTGATTTGGTGGAGGACCGCAGCGTGCGCCTCACATCGGCGGCGCAGCTTGCATGGGGCCAGGTGTGCGGGCGTGCCAGAGGCGTGGCGCAAGGCGCGGCGTCCTCGCGCGCCCGTCCCGCACCCGCCCGCTTTCACGCCGGACATTCTACCAGCAGTGCTGCAAAGCCTGGCAAAGCCGCGCTTAAACGGAAGCGGTGTCGGCGCCCTTTGTGCAACACGCCTCGCGCCTCCACCCCCCCCCCTTTACCTTCCACCCCGCACGCAACCCCCCGGAACCGCGGCTGCGCCAAGGAAGGTGCTGGAGCAGGGAGACACGGCAGTGGACGCGACCTGCGGCAACGGCCACGACACTCTCGCGCTCTGCGAGCTCGTGGGGCCCTCGGGCCGCGTCTTTGCCTTTGACCTGCAGGCGCGCCGCTTGACCGCGCGGCCGCACGAGTGCGACCGCGCGGGCGCCGAGCAAAGGGGCGCGCCCGGCCGCGCGGGCGCGCGCACCCGCCTGGGCGTTGATGCGGGGAGGTAGCGGTGCCGCGGCCC